AAGAAACCCCTTTTTTTTTTTTTTTTTTTTTTTTTTTTTTTGATTTATAAAGAGAACCTCAGGGATCCCACAGGGATTTTTGAGAAGGGCAATTATGAGTCCTAAAAACACCAGTGGAAAGAAATACTGATTCACTAAACAATACAGTTAAAGACAGAAGACACATTAACTGTCTGCATTTTCCTCCTAATATTCATAAGACAAGAATGAGTATATCATTTCCAGAGTTTTTAAATAGCTACTTATTTAGATCACCAGAAAATGGCCCCATCCCACATAGGATGCAAAAACCCAGCGATCCACTATTAAATGAAACTGTTCCAGATAAACTGCGAGCCAACTGACCCTGGAAATTTAGTACCCAAGTTGCGTGACTTGAAAATCTGTTCAAAGCAAGGCATGGCTGCAGGCCTTGACTGTTGTACTTTAGTAACCATAGTAACATGGTCTCTGGAGACCTAATGCTAGTGAATTTTCCTTTATTTCAAGGAAGAGTAATAAGAGAAATGTGGCTTGGAACTTGTTCTCTCTCTTTTTTTTTTTTTTCCCTCCCCTCCCCTCCTTATTTTTACTATGCCATGACCTTGACCAAAATATCTTTGAAGTATTTGCTGGCTGATTTTCTGCTATGGGACCAGAAAAAATATCAGGATATATAAAGGATCTTGCCAAAGGAAGTCCTATCTTCCTCAAAATATTTGCCTTCATTCCCAAAGAGAACCTCTTGACTAATAATGTTTCGAAACCTTCTTAATGGAAGGAACTGATAACTTTCATCTCACAGCTACTGCGGGCACCAAAATAATGTCGTACTTTCTTTGAACTGACAGATTAATTGTTTTTTGTTTCAGTAGCAGGTGCAGCTTTTCGTGAGTACATAATTGGATGTACATGTTTTTTCAAAAGAACACAGGCCCCTGTCTGGTGCCAAGCTCTTTTTTTTTTTTTTTTCTTTCCATTTGGGGAAAAAAACCACCTCATTTCATTTTTTAAGTACAATGTAGAAAACTCATGTAAGTGTTCTTAAAAAGCCAAATACAAACAAACAAATGTTCACAATACATACTTAAGTCTGTCTCACATGTTTCAGCTATTATCCTGGATTAGAAATTCCATCTGTCATTGAATCCATACGGTTTACCAAATGGCAGTTTACAACCATGTATTTTTTGTAAATTTGAACTTAGTTGTTTTGTGTTGCAAAAATTTTAATGTCCACGCTAACATCTTTGTGTGTGTTTCTATGTGTGAGCGCGTCCCTGTGTGCTTGTATAAGTATATGCAAATTGCTAAAAATTGTGATAGGATGCCAGTGGACTTTATTGATTAAAATACACCAGTTGTACACAAAGCAAATAACATTGACATCGAGCTGTGGAGCTCGGTTATTTCCTCCTCTAAATCCAAGAGCCCTATTTTAGGCTTTCCATTATTTCCAGTGAAAGGAATCAAGTGAAATGAGGAGACCTGCCTTTATGGATTTGAGGCTGGTCCGTGTCCTCTTTTCCTTTTCTTCCCCCCAGGTTATCAACAACCCAGGCGGATGGCTGCTGTGGTTCTGCCACAGCACACCAGTGCAGCCTCCCGTTCACTGGGAATGAGAGAAAGCTGTCGCTGAGGATTTTATTTCAGCAACTGAGAATGTTTAAAATCATAAGTGGAACCATATACTTTGTTGTCCTGTTTAATGTGAGACCTGGTAACTTAGAACAAAAAAGCTGGGAATAGTTTTTGTTTGTCCTCATGGACTGAAGCTGTCTCTCTCTTCCACTCAGTCTAACAAATCACCAGGATTCTGGCCAGAATAATGGAAATTTCTATGCAGTGTTACTGTAAAGGGCTTTAGTATGGAGTTGTATATGATACCTGAGATATTTATCTGAGAGGTCAGAAGAGGTCTTTTCTACTGATTTGCAATCACTACTACCTACTTCTGATGTACCAGATCTGGGCTAGCAAAAACTCTCTTCCTTTTTCCCAGCTGTGGTGAGTAGGTAAGAAGAGTATAAATCTCAGCCCAACTCTGACTCAATTCAGGGTCCTCTGTGCTACAGATGTCAGGCTTTACACTGAACTGCACTTTAGGGTAGTATTGAGAAAAGAGAAAAATTTGCAGTCATGGGTAAGACTCACTGATTATGAAGTTTTACTCCATGTCCAGCTTGTCTCTTTTTAGTGTGGTTGAAGCAGCAGGTTTCCCAGCTAAAATGAGGTTTAGACACATGGAATTTCTGTTAATCCTCAATAGATTCATGTGGCTCCACAAAAGTTGTTGTTGCACCAAAGTGGGTTTTGCTTTTCCTGCCTGCAGGGCAGAGCATCTGATGTCTGAGTTTGGGGTCATGAAAACCAGGCGATACTTAGTTAAGAGATCTTAACTCAGGAAAGGACATCAGTATTTTGAGAACAAAACAAAAACAAAGCAGGGGAAGTTTGTAATTCTCTTCACTTACATACCTCCCTCAAATCCATACTTGTTTCTGGCTTCACCTAAACACATGGCTCCTTGAACTTTTCCTCCACTTCTTTCCTCTTGCTCCCTCCCACTCTTCCTTAATACCTCCTCCAGTTTCACAGATGTAGCTGCCAGTCCACTGATCTGAACCCTTAGAAATACACATGGTCCCATTTCTCCTTCTCGTTTTTACAAACTGCTACCCCTGGTCCAGCCCGACTCTGGCTTTGTGAAAGAAAAACTTGTGTTAAAGAAAACCTGCCTGCCTTCCACTGTGAAGGAGTAAGTTTTACATTTTTTAAAGACTGATTTCCTAGGGTATGTGTCTAGGCCTGAAGAGTATGTACCAATATGTTGGATGAAGAAGATTCGAATAGGGGTATTTATTTCTTGATTCATAAAAGCAATCCTTGGTAAAGGCACGTGCTCCCTGGCTATTTCCTACAGGGGCTGAAAAACTCCAGCTTGCCTGCAGGACAATGGAAGGCACATTTTAAGGATGTTCAGCATGATACTGTATGAGATTCTTTGATCATATTCAGATCTTGTGGCCATTTTTTAAGCCTTCCCAGATAGGGCTTGGTGCATTAATTTGCATAAGTTAAGAACATTTCTTTAATTAAGAATATTTCTTTAATGTTCTTAATTTCTACCTGCCCTGGCTGCACGGGCAGGACTGGAGGTCTTTTGGAACGTGCGTGGTAACAGCCACAGACACGAAGGAGCTCCCTTAAATGTCCTACGTTATCTTTGTGGAAAGTTTTAGTCTGTCCAATTTAAAAGGCCTGCCAGATGTTCAAGTGTAATAAAATTTCTAACAGCACATCACTGATGGTTCCATTGCTGTGAAGATGAGTCCAAAGAGACAAGATGCCAAAAATGCTTTCTTGTCTCCAGTTGACATTGGAAATGGATATGACAGATACCATCTATGGAGACTCCTCTCAGCGCACTGAAAAGCACAGATGTGAAGATGTAGAAATCTTGATGCATCGTCTTCTGGTTGATGAGGTGCTGGGATGAATTTGGGCATTATTTAGAGCAGAAAATAGCACCATTCCAGCACCTCCTTGTGCTTCAAGAGTCGACAGGGATAACTAGTGCTCAACACAAACCCAACTAGGCAGAGATAACAGTTATTCTGGAAAGGATCTGTATCTATGGAGTTGACCTGGAGCTGAACACGATTTGTCCTTGACTATTCTTAGCGATGACTCATGGTTAGCATTGTCTTGATTGAATCAGTTGCTGCTACAGCTCTTTCCAAACATAGGTGAGCCATTGCAGTCTCTCCTCTACATTCTTCCAGTCACCGTTTCACAGGTTCTTTGAGGCACAGAGGCCCTGGCCATGTATGGTCCCACTGGGCCATGTTTCCAAAGGTGCTCCACATTTATGATTGGGGCCAAATCTTCTGAGGAGGTCAGCCTATTGTGCACTGAACTCTTGAAATGCTGCCCACCATTGTCACAGTGGGAACAGGCTTCGAGCAGTCTTGGTAATCTGGTCCTTATTTAGGAACCGAAAAGAGAACCAAGCTCACACAAATATGTCAGTGTATCTGGTTACTGAGCAATTGAAAATCTGCCCTCCTTGTGCTTCAGTATTAACCCAGGATTAATAGGCATATCGCTACAAGAGTAAATTGAGAGAAAGGTGAAGCAAGGATAATAATAATATCGAACTATTTCATCAGCACCTATTTGAACTGTAATCTCAAAAGACCTCAAAACCATCACATGAAAGGATCATCTAAACTACCTTGGAATGCAAGCCTGCTGGAGTGAAGATATGTTACTGAATCCTTATCACAGGAAGAGAGGCAAAATTAGTCAGTCTGCATGCAGCATGATAGATCTTAATGTTTACATCATGTATTTCATTTAATACTTACTTTTATTTTTTGATTTCTCTGGTTGCTTTCCTTGCATCACTGAATCTATGAGAATTAATTTAGCTTTTTTCTAGACTAAACATGGGTGTATATCAGTGTTTATTGCCCACTTTTTATATTCATTGCTTTTATGCAATTATGCTAAGTATGTATTTTATAGAAGATTAAGAAAATAGCCATACTTTAAAATACATGCCCAGTTTTAAAGTCATAGCTACAACAGCACATCTATTTAATTTTCTTGTTGGAGATTATTATATTATCTATATGTATCAATGCATATAAATTCAAAGCAATTATTATGGAATGTGATGTTTTAAATTAAAAGAAAAAAAGGAGTTGAAACTTGCTATTAAACTTTTAATTATATGAATTAATGAAAAAAATTAAAGTAGATAATAAACTAGTAATGTAATATGGTAGTTACACTGTAATTAGCTATACTAACTTTTTGAAAAAAGGAAAAAAGCATGTTCCAGATTTTATTCATTTTTTCATGTTAGGAAAAAAAGGCCTTTCTGCAAAAATGTGATGTCCCACTTTTTTGCAGAGTGTTTTTTCCATATCTAGAATATTCTTAAAATTATTACATTTTATACCCATCTTTACTTTCTGATTATCTTTTTAATTATTTTATTTTCCTTTCTTTAGTCACTGAACGGTTTTGCGTTGGTGGTGAGTGCAGATGGAATGATATTTTATGCGTCATCAACGATTGTGGACTATCTAGGGTTTCATCAGGTAAATACATTCACAAATATTTAGAATACTTAGTCACTGTCATTGTAATGACTTTCTGGTAGTCAATCCTGCTAACTGGCTTTCTAAAATGCAGCACTCTACGTTGTTTTGCCCTATCCTTCTACTGCTGATTAGGCATACACTATCACTGAAATGAATTTATTTTACTATGCCATTTCAGACTAATTTTCTTTTTTTTGTGTATGTGTGATCTGACAGGTGAAGATGAATTCTTTGTAATGTTGTTCCTTTTGTAAAGCTTTTGTTAACAGAAACATGATAAAAATAAGATTTAGCTAGAAGTTTCCTTTCAATTTCGGTACAAGATGCTGCTATTTTAGACTGGTTGCCTGTGCATAATAAATATATTTTAAAGTCATAGAATAACAGAACCATGTATTTGGAAAGGACCTCTGGAGGTCATCCAGTCCAACCTCCTGCTCAAAGCAGATCCAGTTATAGCAGGTTGATCCGAGACTCATCCAGTCAATTTTTGAGTTTCTATGACCCCTCTGGAAGACATGTTTCAGTGTTTAACTACCCTGACCATAAATTTTTTTCACTTATATCATGTCCCAGTTTCCCATGTTGCAAATTCTGTCTGTTGCTTCTTGTCCTCCCACTTTGTTCTTCTGAGAAGAGTCGGGCTTTGTCTTCTCTATACCCGCTCGCTCGGTTGATGTAGACAGCAGTAAGTTCTTACTCAAGTTTTCTGTACTTATGGCTGAACAAACCCTGTTCTTTCCTCTCCTGATATGTCATGTGCTCCAGCCCTCTTAAGTGTCTTGGTAGCACTCTCCTGGGCTCACTTTTGCATGCTAATATCTTTCTTTTCCTGGGGTACCCAAAATTAGAGAGCTTTGCCTTTGTAGAACTTCCTGAGGTTGCTGTCAGCCCATTTTCACAGCCCATCAAGATCTGAGTAGCTGTCCTGCTCACTCCAGTTGGTACCCTCTGCAAACCTGCTGAGAGTGGACTCTATCCCGTCATTCACGAGTCAAGAAATTAAACAGGGTTGGTCCCAGCATCAAACCCTGGGGGATGCCACTAGTCACCGGCTGCCAATTGGACTTTTTTATGACTCACATTTGTATATGCACAAAAGAATTAAGAATAAAAAGAATCATTTCAAGATGTGAAGTCAAAAAGCAGATGCGAAAAACAGAGGCCTCTGAAATAACTTCCCTCAATCAGTCTTTGCTCTGAAGGTATCTTACACCAGTCTTTATTTTAAGGAAAACATCAACCTAAAGATAAGTGTCTGCCCCACTACACTTACAAATTAAATGTTTCTTCTTGTAATTGTTTCAGACTGATGTAATGCACCAAAACATATATGACTACATTCACGTGGATGATCGCCAGGATTTCTGTAGACAACTGCACTGGGCCATGAATCCTCCCCAGATTTTGTCTGGACAGCAACTACAGGCAGAAACAGGTGGGATTGTATATGTTGATTGGAAACATAGGCACCACTGTACAGAGGTAGAATTGCACTCCACCTACGCGCATGTCTGCTCCACGTCAAGTCAGATTCTTCACTGGAAAGCTGCATAGTGGCCATTTATAATGTTATTGTCCCATAGAGGATGTTTCTTCCTGATCCTTGAAATTTATAAGGTAGTGTGTACCATTGAAGCTACAAAGTTGGTATTTCCCTTATTTTTCTCTGACTAATGTACCTATGGATATTCTTATCCATGCAGAATGAACAACATCAGTGTTCATCCTACTGACCTTCTGTTCACACTGATCAGGACATTAGTATTCCTCTCATTAATGCAAAAAAATCCCGTGCAAAACATTTCTGTACAGTACCACAGTAGCAACATCACTTTCTGCCATTTGTTTTCCCACGCAAAATTATGTAGACAGGAGTCTACAGAAGAACAAGTAGGTTTAGCAATGCACTTTTTCCTCTGAGGCTGTATTTCCCCAAGGATGGCAGGTGAATAAGCGTGCTCAAGTCTTCTCCTACATGAGGCGTTAAGCTGAAATCACAACTATAGAAAATACAATGGGGTTGAAATTGTTAACTTTATAAAGAATTATTGATCCCAGCAAAATGTATGCATTTCACCAGAAGGTGAGGAAGTAACTGAGGAAAGAAACTGAGGAAGCGCAGCCTCCAGATTGGTGGGGAGAAACTTGCAAGAAATCCTTCATCAGCCTTTGTGAAGTCCTCAGGAACACAGCCACGAAACTTTGGTAGAATTTCTTGCAGTTTCCATGTTTTGCAAGAGTCTTACAGATATGTGAGGAACTTCGCAAGATTTTGTAGGAAGTACACAGAAAACAAACTAAACAATGTGCAGGAATATTTAAAACTATAAAAAGTTACAAATATTTGGATTTTTTGTCCCAATATATACAGTGGAGAATTTCAGTTCCTGAGTTCATACTTCTGTACAAATACTTGTGTCTTTTGGGAAATAAATATTTCAAAAGCTATGCACTTGTAGTCCAAAACTGGAAAATGTTTCATGAAAAATCAAGGAGGCAACAGCTGAACATTAGCTAATCAGCCACTGTTCATTTGTCTTTTTTTCCTTGCATTAGCATTTTTCCTTATTTTGTTCCCTTTTCTAATGTATTTTCTGCAATGTCTGATCTCAAAACCAGCAACATCTGTTAACCTGTGTTGCATCATTAAAAATCACAAAAACTCAGGATATTTAAAAAATCAAAGTTTCTGAAGAAACTCACCTGAATGCCATTGCAGAGCTTTTCTTTTTTCTCCTGGTAGAGCATGTGCAGATGTATCTCTACGTGATACAATTTAATATTCGCCCTTCCATAAAGTAATTTTTAGCAATTTCCATAACAGCTTCTTCAATTGGCTATGGAACACCTTCATTCTTTCTTAGTGTGATCTGATATATATTGTCTCCACTGTTGTTCCCAGGAGAAGAATATATTCTCAGTAAATTGTTTAAAGCACAAGAGAATGACAGCACGACAACAGATTATTCTTCCTTCTTAACTCGTTGTTTCATCTGTCGAGTTCGCTGCTTGTTGGACAGTACTTCTGGCTTCCTTGTAAGTATAATTTCACTTAGACAACTGCAGTCATGACATACTAGCTTTTAATTACTTCATATGAAAAATATTTCAACATAAATATTCAACATAAATATTCAACATAAATATTGTAGAGAGCCATGGACAGGATACACTTTTAATTTGCTGTGCACTAACAACAAACACATGAAGACATTTATTAATATGTATAAAGAGTGATGGGAGAAGATTGTAATATTGGAAATTGAAAGAATCTATGAACTTTTATGTTTTAAGCTCTTTTGGACAATATCTGTCCTCAATTTGTACTGGGCCTAGCACAAGCATGGCAAGCCTGAGTTTCAATGATTAACATTAAAGCACGAAGTATTTGCTTTAAGGAACAGGAATAATAATGGTCCATTTTCCCCTTTTGTAAAGGGTCCTTTCATAATAAAAACCAGAATTAGAAAGTCTCTCACACATTCCTCAAGCATCTTTACTAGGAGTGGCTCACTTCTAGAAATCACTTCCCCATTTGCTTAGTAAAGACCAATGCTGTTTCTTCTTATGACAAAGTACGGCACATGCAAAGAAAATGAGAGGATCAGCACGAGACAGTGAAAAGCAACTTCTGTCTCAGATGCTTCATTTGCTGGAAGACTATGGGTCTGAACAGCCGTACCAGTTCGTCATTTCTGCATCCCTGTTTTAATCTTGTAGCTCTGGAAAATGCCCAACTCAAATGGACTGATTTTTCTCTGGTCGTTTTGTGGTAGGTAATTTTTTCACTGAGAGGCAGCAGCTTGCTATTAACTTGATCTCTGCCTTCTGATTATATGGAGATTTGAGGCAGGGATGGATGGTTCCTTCCAAGCTATGTACTTTGTATCTGGCTATCTTGGGCATATCTTTTCCCTTGGCGTCTGCCTGCACAGCCCCTGGGTTGTGCCAGTCCATATATTTCCCAGTGCAGGGGCAAGAGGAAAGAAACTCAGGAACCATCTCACTGGAGAGAACAGAGCATGGAAAAATAATAGTTCCAGCTTCAGAGTGAGGCACAGAGGAAATAGCTGTTTGCACCACCATACGCTGCCTGTCTTGGCGAACAGAACATAACGCAGAAATTCTACTTTAAGTACACAGAAGAGGAAAAAACAAAAACCAGCCTCCAATGTCTCATTTTACTGTTGATAGTACCTCCACTCGCCATACTTCTGAAGTGGCATGGTTTAAACTGTATGAAGATAATGAAATTCCTATTTTTTCTCCCTGTTTCAAAACTGGTTTTGGTGTTAAACAACACGGTCCATAGGTTGTATTAGCATTTTAAATGTTTATACACTAAGTGCTTAAGATAATTCTATTGTTTTTTTGTATAACAGACGATGCAGTTCCAAGGCAAACTAAAGTTTCTTTTTGGACAAAGGAAGAAGTCCTCATCAGGAACAGTATTGCCACCTCAGCTGTCCTTATTCTGCATTGTGGTACCACTTCTGCTCCCTTCTGTGACAGAGATGAAGATGAAAAGCCTGCTTGTGAAAGCAAAACACAAAGCTGATGATGCAGGAGCAGTGAATACAAAGTATTTTCAAATTAATTGTTTAGCAGTTAGTAAAGTATATTATGGGCTTTATGTTTAATAACCATGTGAAAAGCACAAATTAGGCTAAATAACTCTCCTTTTTAAAAACTCTTTCTTAGGAAAGTGAATAATTTATCTGGATTTAACGATATTATACATAATAGCTATGTTATAATATAATATATTGCACTTTATATATAATACATATTAAGTATTATATTACTATATAT